AACACTACCGAGTAGTATAGTCTTCATTAGAAATGAAGATATGTCTAAGGCCAATGACCCACATCTTCAATCAAAAAAACTAGGGAAAGAAGAACAAATCAGATTCAAAGTAGAAGGAAAGACATTAGAGCTCTCAGCAGCACCATGGTAGTTGGCAAGAACAAGTGCCCGTTGAAGTGCCTGATGGCGGCAAGAAGGGAGCCAAGAAGAAAGTGGTTGATCCATTTTTCGAAGAAAGATTCACATGATGTGAAAGCTTCGGCTGTGTTCAATGTTAGAAACGTTGGAAAAACACTAGTCACAAGGACTCAAGGAACCAAAATTGCATCTGTTGGCCTCAAGGGTCATGTGTTTGAAGCAAGCCTTGCTTATCTACAGAATGACAAAGTTGCATTTAGAAAATTCAAGCTAATTACTGAGGCAGTTCAGGGCAAAAACTGTCTGACTAACTTCCATGGCATGGATCTTACCCGGGACAAAATGTGTTCCATGGTCAAAAAGTGGCAGACCATAATTGAAGCTCATGTTGATGTCAAGACAACTGATTGTTACTTGCTCTGTCTGCTCTGTGTTAGTTTCACTAAAAAATGCAACCATCAGGTCCACAAGACCTCCTATGCACAGCACCAGCAGATCCGCCAGTTCCGGAAGAAGAGGATGGAAATTATGACTTGAGAAGTGCAGACAAATGACTTGAAGGAAGTGGTTAATAAATTGATTCCAGACAACATTGGGAAAGACATAGAAAAGGTTTGCCAGTCTATTTACCCTCTTTATGATATCTTCATTAGAAAGGTAAAAATGCTGAAGAAACACAAGTTTGAATTGGAAAATCTCATGGAGCTCCATGGTGAAGGAAAAATTACTGGTGATGAGACAGGTGCTGAAGATGAATGAGCTGATGGGTATGAACTACCAGTCTGAGAATCTGTTTGAAATCCAGATTTTTTTTTTTTTTTTTTGGTTTTTCGAGACAGGGTTTCTCTGTGTAGCTTTGCGCCTTTCCTGGAACTCACTTGGTAGTCCAGGCTGGCCTCGAACTCACAGAGATCCACTTGGCTCTGCCTCCCGAGTGCTGGGATTAAAGGCGTGCGCCACCACCGCCCGGCGAAATCCAGATTTTTAATAGTGACAAATAAAAAGTCTTATTTGTGGAGAAAAAAAAGAAAGGGAGAAAAAAACCCAGTGGAACGTTAATGCAGAGATTAATAAAATTGACACTCCTCCAGTCAAACTGACCAGAAAGAAAATACAATCCCCATTATTAAGCATTATTAAGGGAATAACACCACTGTTGAGTCTGCATAATCTCTAATGTATAAGACCTACACAAAATATTGTCCAGAACAGGTTGGTCTATGATAGTGATTTTCAACTTATGGGTTGTGACCCTTTGGGGGTTGAGTGATCCTTTCATAGGGATCACCTAAGACCATCAGAAAACACAGATATTTACATTACAATTCATAACAGTAGAAAATTACAGTTATGATGTTGCAATGAAAATAATTTTATGGTTGGGGTCACCACAGTCTGAGAAACTGTATTAAAGGGTCATAGCATTAGGGAAGGTCAAGAGCCACTGGTCTATGGTACACATGTGGGGGATTGTCTGGATTATATCAATTGAGATGGGAAGACCCTTCCCCTGTAAGTTGCTTTTGTCAGAGTACTTTATTACAGCAAAAAGACAAGAAGCTAAGACGAAGAGTAATAAAGGAATATTATCATATAGCACAATAATCAGCATACTTAAAATTCCAATAATTTGAATGAGGCATATATATATACATATATATATGTATATGTATATATATATATATAAATGCATATGCGTTTTGGTGCTTTAATCATAGCAACATAAACTTAACCAGGGCAGATGGGTACGAGTTCACAATGTTCACCCGAGGCTGGGTGGTAACTCACCAGTGAGGCCCTGTGCTCTGCCCAGGAGTGAAGTCCATCAGAACCGTTTGCCAGCCACAGCTGGAAGGGACTTGTCTCTGAACACAATGTAGGTGACCTGCCGCATTCAGATTTCGTTTTCAGAACATGTTCTCACTAAGTTGACCTGAAACTAATTATGAAGAATTGGACTCAAACTTGTGATCCTTCTCCTTCTGTGCTAGGACAGAGGCATGGGCCGCCATACCAGGCTTGGACAAAAGAACTGTGAGTCACTGAGGCATATAAGTTTTTTGAAGACAAAAAACCATCAAATGTCATTCAAGAAGAAATGTAATTTGATAGCTGTGAATTTGTAATTAACATTTTCATAAAAGCTAAGATGCCTCTGATGACTTATACAGAGTATTTAAAGAATGTACCATAGCAGAAATTGCCAAGCTCTCCTAGAAAACTGAAGGGAAGGGATATGTGATGGTTAGTTTTATTTTATTATTTTATCTATCTATCTATCTATCTATCTATCTATCTATCTATCTATCTATCTATTTATTTATTTAATTTTGGCTTTTCGAGACAGGGTTTCTCTGTGTAGATTTGCGCCTTTCCTGGATCTCGCTCTGTAGACCAGGAAAGGCTGGCCTCGAACTCACAAAGATCTGCCTGGCTCTGCCTCCCGAGTGCTGGGATTAAAGGCGTGCGCCACCACCGCCCGGCCTGACGGTTAGTTTTAACAAACAGTGTGACAGGACCTACAGTCGCTTGGGAGACAGGCCTCTGAGCATGCATGGCTATCTTGATTGCACTCACTGCGAACCCATCTACTGTGGGTGAGGTGACATCATTCCCAGGCTGGGATCCTGGATTGTGTGAGTGGAGCAGCATGCATACATCTCTTTCTTTTCTGACTGTGGCCACAGTATGACCTGCTACCCCAGGCTCATTCTGTCTTTATTTTCCTGTCATGATGGACTGTGAACTATGAACTGGAATAAATCCTTTCCCCTTCAGTTGCTTTGGTAGGGCATTTTATCATGGCAACAGGAAAAGAAACCAAGGATACTTTGAAGATGAAGCTACAAGAACATCATTACCTTAAGACTAAGACTGAAGAAAGATATTACAAAATAGAAAATTAGAGTCCCGTAGTCCTTTGTGAATATACATGGGAAAATTCTTAAAATAATCCTGGGAGACTGAGTTCAACAAAAGGACATTAATATGATCAACTAGAATTTTTTCCTCAGAAATACAAAGTTAAACACTAGTTCACCTAACAAAACTGACCAGATTTACCCACTGAAAAGCAAAACTCATTTGAATCTTAGTAGACACAGAAGAGAACAAAAACGAAATCAAAATAAAAAATCTATCCCTTATTTATAAAAATCCTCTCAGCAACATGGGATGAGAAGGGACCAGTTCTCTGAATTTCGTTACACCAAGTTCAATGACAGACACCCACAAGCCCTGGGGGCTCATGCTGTGCACATGGTGTGAGAGCTCACTAAATGGAGCTGACCACTTCTCTTCAGAGCTGTGCAGGGAATCATGGATGTTGTAGCAAACCGTGGAACATTAAAACAAAATTCATTATGAACAGAAGCAAAGAATGTAAATCATGATCATAGATATCATGATTGTACACAAAATGCAAATCTTTAAAAAAGCTGCTGGGACAAATATGTGTTAGCAAAACTACTAAATACAAGATCAACATGCAAAAGAAAATTGCATTTATATTTACTATAAATGAAAAATTGGAAATTGAAATTGAAGAGCATGTAGTAGAACATGAAACATTTTGAGATAAATGTGACTCAGATGTGTCAGGCCTGAATATTTATATCTGTTTAGCGTTAGTGATAAATAAATGGAACGACATACTGTTCATGGACTGAAAAAGACTCAGTATTACAAATGTAATTCTCCATAAGTTGATGTACATCTCAGACACAATCCTGATTAAAATTTAGTTAGCTTAAAAATAAATCAATAAATACTAAATTTATATGGAAATAAAGGAACTAGAATAACCAATGCAAATTTGAAAAAGAAAAATAAAGTTGGGGGTACTGGTGAAAACTCATTTTAATACTTTAATTCAGCAACAGCAATTAGGACATTGTGGCTTTGCTGTGACAGTCCACAAACAGAGATCAAGGAAACACTGGCGAGCAGAAGTGAGCATTCCCCACTATCTATTGGGAATAAGACCCCTCACACTGTCATGATTATGTAAACTTTTAGGACTCCAAACACACTGTTAATTAGACAGTATTTTTCACAAGTGTGGATATATCTATGTGAAATGTCAAATGTTACAACGAATAGTTATTGTGACATTTGATTTATTTTCTTATTTCCTCAGTGTGCAGTTGGGTGTTCAGATTCTCCTTTCTCATTCCACACAATTTAAAAAAAAATACCCATTTTTGGCCCTTTGGCGGTTAATTTGGTGTTGCCTTTAGGTCACAGCTAATTTTTTTCAAAAGAGTTATTTGCACTCTTGGGAGACCCTCTTCAAAGACAGGGTAGCAGTGTTTCTGAGGGTCTCAGTTTCTTAATGGCTGCTCATGTTCTTTTCACAGCTTTTCTGTAATTTTCAGTTTTAACACACAAAGATCTACAAGGTTCTTTATCTAAACTCTTGATATTGCCATGTGCTCTGAGCATTTACATTGTTAGTGAATATTTAGTCATTTTATGACTGATATTATGAACTTTTCTCAGTGTTTTATCATATCCTGAGCCAGTACATTTGAATCAATTCATATCTCTTTTGAATCATTATCTGCTGAAGTTAATATGAAGATTCATTGCCATCCTATAGTAAATTCATCCATTAGTTTTTGCTTCATTAAATTCCATTCTCCTATGGCCATTTTTCATTGCTCTGTGTCCTTCTATTTCTGTCTAGTTGTATTTATTTGCACTTAGGTATCTGAACTCATGTCCCAGAAGACTCTGTGCAGTGGGTAAATGTACAAGCTTTGAATGTTGTCTTTCTCTTTGGCTGAAAAAATAGACTAGTGAATTATGACTAAACCCCTCTCCGAAGTGAACTGTGATGTGTCTGTCCCTCTGCTCCACAGGGAGAGTGTGGAGAGCCTGATCCAGAAGCATTCCTATGCCCGCTCACCCATCCGCACCTATGGAGAAGAGGACGTACTGGGGGAGGAGAGCCAAACAACTCCAAATCGAGGTAAGGCCATCTACCAAGTGGAGATGTGGCGCTGCTAGAGGCCAGAGCGCTTGAGAGGGGGTGAAGGCGGGCTGCTGATGGAATGTCTGGTCCTCTTGGAACATATATCAATAAGTGCCTTCAAGACTTTTCAGAAAGGCAACCTCGAATGCTGATCCTTGTATGCCTCATTATTTTGCTTGAATGGGCACTCCACCCACGGTATGTTTTCTGGTAACAGAACATAGAGCCTTTGAATCAGGGTAGGGGTGGGCTTGTCTGTGACTTACTGTCAAAGAGCCCCCAACCACACTTCTGGAAAGTTTCTTACTGATTTTGAATCTCAGCTTTATTATTTGAAAGTTAGGGATATTTCATTAGGATCAAAGTTCAAAATGAACACGTTTAAAAGAGGATTATCATGACAAAGGGCCATGACTGGTCCTAATAGTTGAAGCAAGAACTAAACAAAGGGCTGGAGAGATGGCTTGGTCACTTATAATTCCCTGTGTTAGGGAAACAAAGACAGGCAAATCCCTGGGCTCACTGGCTTCCAGCCTGGACTACTAAGTGAGCTCCAGGATGGTGAGAGACTGTATCTCAAAAAAGGGGTTGGGAATGGCACATGAGGGTGTCCAATGCACACTGCAGATGTGACACAAAACAAAAGAACTGAGCAGTTTCCTTGAGCAGAAAGCTCAGGAGAAGACTGAGCACACAGGAAGTGTGAATGAAGGGAAAGACGGAAGAGAGAGGCTGGTGGTGCCCCACTATGGACCTAAGATGATCTCATGGGGAAAACATCTCTATCTTTTTTGTGTGTCTGTTTCTAAAATGCAAAGCAGCACAATTAGTGAAAACACAGGACATTTCTTATAACCCAGGGAAAGGTAGCCATGAACCATTACTCGGTTGGAAAATTCAGCTTTCCTGGTGTAGAAGAATTCATTTTTCAGGTTCTCATGATGGTTTTGGGAAAAGGTGGCTTTGCTGAGACATATTCAGCTTCCTTTAGAGAGGTGCTACAGTTATTTGGAGCTCTTTAAGGAAATGAGGACATGCTCTCTGCAAAGTATCACTGCTTGGCCACTGTGGAGTATGCAGGCCATGCAGTCGGTTGAGTGTTTGCCTGTGAAGTTCATTCTTCCACGGAGGACGCCAATGGAGTCCTCTTATCTAGAAAGTTGGGTTTGCCCTCCAATAAGTCTCCTGTCGGCTTGTCTTTTTGAATTGCCAATCTAGCATTTTCCCTATTTTTAAAATGTTAACAGTTTTATTAATTCTTTGAGAATTTCATATAGTGTACTTTGATCATATTCACCACCCTTCTCCAAACTTCCCAGACCCACCCTCATGTCTCTAACCACCCAATTTTGAGTTTTCCTCTCTCTTTTTTATATTTATTTTAATATATATATATATATATATATATATATATATATATATATATATACATATATATAAGTGCTTTGCCTGCATATGTATCATGCACATGCCCGGTGCCTGCAGAGGTGAGAAGATGGCATCAGATTCCCATGGGACTGGAGTTACAGACAGTTGTGAGCTGCCGTGTGGGTGCTGGGATTGAACCTGTCCCCTGGAAGACAGTGTTCTCAACTTCTGAGTCAACTCTCCAACCCCTTTTCTTTTTTTTAAAAAAAAAAAAAAAAAAGGAGTCCTACTCTTGGGTGTGGAGAGCTAGCAATTTTTTTTTTTTAATAAACTGATCTTCAGCTGGGTGTAGTGGCACACGCCTTAAATGCCAGCACTTGTGAGGCAAAGATAGGTAAGATTTCAGTGAATTTGAGGCTAGCCTGGTCTATATAGTGAGTTCCAGGACAAACAGGGCTACATAGTAAGGACCCTATCTCAAAACAACAACAAAAGAACATAAACTGATCTTCGGTATATTTAAGTAGCTACTTGAGTCTAATGAACGCTTTTCTTCCAGGATCAGCCTTTACAACATCTGACAATTTGTCTCTCAGTTCCTGGGTGTCATCGTCTTCCAGTTTTCCTGGATTTCAACATCCACAGACCCTGACTGCTCTTGGCACCAGCACAGCGTCCATAGCAACACCCATTCCTCACCCTATACAGGGTTCTCTGCCACCGTATAGCCGTCTGGGAATGCCTCTGACCCCATCTGCCATTGCCAGCTCCATGCAGGGAAGTGGTCCCACATTCCCTTCATTCCACATGCCTCGATACCATCACTACTTTCAGCAGGGGCCCTATGCAGCCATCCAAGGACTACGCCACTCCTCTGCGGTGATGACACCGTTTGTATGACTCTTCTGAGAGTGGGGGAAGCTAGATCCAGAATGTGCAAATGGGTATGAAAACATAGGATATTGATGGGTGGGTGGGATGTGGGGTATTGGAGCGGGGGCTCTCCAGGAAATACAGGACTCATTAAAGCGGAGAGCTGGACTCACAGTAAAACCTACTTGTAAGGGAGTGCACCATGGGCCAGGATTCACTTGTAGTTGGATTCAGAAGAGAATCAGTGTAAAGTTTAGCCAGCCCACTCCTACAACTAACAGAATATCAGTTTACCTAGAAAGCTTAATGATCTAAGGCAAAGGAATCCCAAGGTGCGTTATTCCTAGCGGTTAAAAGTCCTGTTGATGCAGTGTTGTATGAAATCTTTGTGTATAGGTTTTCTTTCTGCTTTCAACAGGTTCAAAGCATCGTCCAGAAGGCAATACTATATAGCATATTGAAATGCTCAAGTCCATTTCTCCCAGTAGAAAATGGGAGCCAATAGCGAAATGTTTGTAGTGCTGTAGCTTAAGCATGTTTAGTTTCCTTGATGTCAGTTTGCTGGGGAAGGGGCCGAGTTGGTACGAATGCATCCTGTGGTGTGAATGGACATACGGTGATGCCTTTACCAAGTTCCTGCCGTATCCGCAGGCTGTGACACCGTAAGCTCTGTCTTCAGTTCTTCTTCTTTTCTTTTTCCTAATAATTCTTTTTCTTGCAAAAACTTTGCAGTTATGTAGGGGAAACCCTCTGTATGCTATTTTTTTAAGTAAGAAGCTCTGTTATTATCAAAGAAGTCGGCTTTTGGGGCACTGCATTCTTGATAAGCTGCTGGCATGGCCACTGAGGACCTCTCCAGAGCCCACGCGAGGTGATGGGTGAGGTTCTCCTTTACAGACTACAACCAAAATACAGTGGTTCTCTTCGGAGGGGAATTTCTCTGTCATAGGAGCCGAAGTCCCCTTCATTTTCACTTCAGTGGTGGGGGATCTTTTGCCTATGAAAACACACTGGGCCAAAATCTGATTTTTTAAAATCTGCTTTATTCCTGTTGCCGTTGTCGTCAGGGATTTGCCAATGACCATTCTCCCACCATGCTTTCATGTATGCCTACGGGCGTGAATGTGCCCTGTCTCTGACTTCTCTCATCTGTCTGTGATACGTTTACAGACTCCTTTCCATTTTCCTCAGCCGCCAACACGAAGTTGCATGTCGGTTCTGTGACTCCCTGACAGAAACACTAACTTCTTACCAGCAAACTAGAGCTTCATCTAGCTCTTGCTTCCTTCCTAAGCCTCCTCTCTATAAGTACACTAGAGATTATGTTTTACTTCTGTATAATCAATATGTTATTTTTGAACAACATGTATCTTAGCCTTTACAGTCAGGGCAACAAATCTGGTATTTTGCAATAATGCATTTCCCTAATCATATAGATTTATTCAAGTCATTAGACCTTCAGCTTTGAAGACAGTGTGTTCCACCTTGAGGTTGTGACTGGTTTGCTTCACACAGTTCCCCTAAACTTTATTTTGGTTTAATTTTCATATGCAGTTTTCATTCTGCTCTGTTCCTGTTTCAGATGTATTGAATGTGCTAGAAGACACGAGAAACAGCACTGCTGACTGTAGAAGTGTATTTAGGCATAAATGCAATATACGACATCACTCTGCAATTTTATCGGGTAGTTTTGTTGGGCTTTTCCACATGGAATGACTTTCCAGGCCGAGTCCAACCTGTGAAATGGTACCACACAGAGCCTGAGTGTGGGATGCTGGCTTTAGATGTTGCCCTTGATAATCTCCATAAAGTCCATAGCTGAGTTACAAAGAAGCATGGCCTGTCAGGAAAACCATTGTAAGCTCCCATGCCACACACTTCGGGTGAATCTAGCTTCTTGTGGATCACGCAGTCACATGCACAGGTAGTTGGTTTCCGGACAAGTATGGACATTCATTTCCTTTAAAAACCACTTGTTAATGATGTTTAAAATAAATGCCCATACAGCTAGGTTATCGGATTGATACTTAATGATTGGCCTCTTGCAAAAGTACCTTGGAACAAAACACTGCAGGAAAAACAAAGATGCTATTTTACAGGATGCTGTAATACTAAAGTCAATGTACGTCAACGTTTTCTTTTTCATGACAACAAAAGGATTGTTTTAATACTGTTTTTGTAGTTTTCCCAATCTGTGTGCCTCACAGTAGGTTTGTGGAGTTTTTGTTGTTGCTGTTGTTAAATATGATCTTTTGCCGGTACTTTTTGGAATTTTGCTTGCAATTCAGCAATATGAGAATGAAACTGAGTGGAAGGCATGGTGGCCAGCAAAGCGGGCTCTTGAAATTTTTGCCCTAAAATTCTTAACTAGATGTTTGTTTCCTCAGTTGGTATTACATGAACCAGACAGAAGCCACCCAAGGGAAATGGGGTCACAGGAATGCCTGGCACTCAAGCCTGGGAGCCACCTGTAACTTTGGAACTTATTCTGGTCATCAATTTTTATAAATCCCTTGGAAATTTACTATTTAAAATCCCAATGTTTGTTCCACCAAAACTGAAGACAAGAATTAGATATTAAAAGGGAAATCCAATTGAATAATAATAACCAAGACTTTGGAATAAAGTCAGGGCTTCCGCTTTGCATGGCCCAGCACAGTGCTGCCGAAGACACCAGGCCAGGCTTGTAGTATTACTGAACACTAACAGATTGGTTCATAGCTTGCTGGATTCTGACCTGTGCTCTGGTTTTGAAATGTAACTCAATAATTTTAAGTTGAGTTGTGCCCATTCTTTATTTAGTGAATCATCCCACCAGCTTGCTGACCTTGGCCGTTCTTGTGAAAACACACCCAGTTGTGTCTAGCATATCTACAAATGTTAGGTAGCATTTCCTAGCTCAGTGGTGTGCTTCAGTGCTGGCATTTTCAGCTTGTAACAATGGTGTATTGTTGGAAAGGGTTACCAGCATTTGAGTGAGTGGGTACAGAGACATAAAACCTCTTGACAAGAGATTCATCATGTAGCAGAAACATTGTGTAGGGCTTTGTGTAAGAGCCGCACTGGCTTCTGGGCCATTCTTAGATCTTGTCTCCCCAACCACTAGCCAAATGTCTGCCATTTTGCTTCTCCAGTTACAACTCTCCCCTCCCTAAACACAGTAATAAAAACAAAGGGAATCCTTTATGTGCTCAAGAAATATTAGAAATGAAACCTCATGCCTCACATTGCCTATGAGCATTTCAGGGAGATGTTAGGATATTTATCTTATTTCTTTATTTCAGAGTAACTTTTCAAGCTACATTGCTAATGTAGAGGACAAAGGACAATTATGTTAGGAAAATTACCTATAAATAAAACGGATGGGAGGACTTCCCACTCCTTCAGATAGGCAGGCAAGCTCAGTAGTGACTTAGTCATTAATGAGCAGGCTAACATACTACATTAAAACTCATGTTTTTTACTCAGTATTCTATTGAGTAAGAAAAACTACTTCCATTGTTAAACTGGCAGAGAATTGATAACTGTTACAAACAAAACAATACTCACTCTGACAAAGCTGTAGACAAAAGAAAAAAATTTAGCTTGTTCCTCTAGAGAGTTACTGCAGGAAGGATGAGTTTTATATTCATTTTTTGTATTGTCTTAGAATGAAAGGCATTGCTGTAAACAAGCAAAGGGAAGGTTATAAACCTTCAAAACATTAAGGAAGCATAAAACCCTTTTGTCATGGCTTACTATTCTGTTCTACTAGAAAACACCAAAACACTTATTTTTCCCCTGAAAGCTACATATAAGAAGGCTCATTTGTAAGTATTTGATGGGTTAATAATCCCTAAGTATTTTTTAGCTTTCTTTATCTGCCTCTCTCATATAATTTCAATCTCTTCCCCCTTTAAAGAAAGCATCCTGTAAAGAAAATAAATTGTGTGTGTGTGTGTGTGTGTGTGTGTGTGAAATAGTACATCTGGACAAAAGATACAATTTGTTGTATTTTACTTCTGGCACAAAGACATACGGTATTAAGTTGCTTTTTAAAAAATTGTCAGAAATCTGAAGAAGTTCTTTTGTTAGCTAAAGTATGAAATTCTGTATCACCTGTTAGGCAGACTCTGCCACCATCTCCTTGTTTGCTGTGTCTTCATTTGCTTAATGAATTGTGTGGAAAAGTCACTGTAATGCAGTGTGTGGGATGGGGGAAGGGCGTGGGAAATGTTTTATGGGGAAAAAATTATAAGCCTAATACTATGAAGTAACATCTAATGAAGTTCTGTTTAAGTGCAATATATTTATTTCTGCCAGAAATGTATTATCAACCTTATGTAATATTTGAAGCATAACATGTTATTTGTAAACAGCTAAAATTATATATTATCCCGAATTGTACAGAAGCATTTATGTGTGGATACTTGTTTCTTTTGTTAAGAATGGAGTGGTATTTTTATACATATGAACACATTTACACTTTTTATTATCTACACACAGTGACTTTTGCTGCCTATGTTCTCACCTGATACAGAGGAGTATTGGATGATACTGGGGCTCAACTAGCCATTCCTAGATATGATCTCTGGGACATGATGCCATGTTGTGACATTGTTGTTTAAGGAAGACTGCCCTCACAGTTCTACCTTTCTCTCTTTCTATTACTACTCAACTCTCTTCCCTCACTTATTCCACCCAACGAATCCTCAGATATGTGATTTTACGTCTGTTGTACCAATTGACCCTGACATTGATTTCATGTAGCTTAAAAACTACTGCCTCAGCCAAGACATGAGCAGTGATCCATGCTATAGTGATATTGTAGCAAATAGGCTGACCAAGTAGGATCAGCCAAATTCAAGGCCTTAGTCATCTTCCACACAATTGCTCTTCAGAATACATGGTGCTATCATACCTTTTGCTTGCAAATGTCTCCTCATTTTTGTGTATGCTGAACTCAAGCTTTCATAAATCTTATTTGGAAGAATTCCACACTAAAGAGAAATATTGCAAGTATAGCATAAGAAATCCTGTGTGTCCTT